TATATATATATTAAAAAATTTAAAAGAGAGAGAGAGAGAGCGCTGAAGGGAAGCTCACTCTCTTAGGGCGGAAGGGCAACTCTTAGACTTGAATTTAAGTGGTGGCCGTATTCCTTCCAAACATATCATTTTAACAACTTGTTCGGGAGCAGTAGGATGGAAAGGTGGCGCCCCATCCAGCATCTGGATTTAAAAAAATTAACGAAAAGAATGAAAGAAAAAAATTAGATTAAATAAGTTCCATTTCAACTTTCTAAGTTTTAGTTTAATCTACATTTCTACAAAGAATTTCACCATAAAAAAGTCAATAACAACCTCAATAGGCGTAGGCATAAATAAGGACTAATTTTCTTTGATGTGGTAGCATCCGTGATGGTAAATAATGTAGTGGGAGAATTCCTTCCTATCGGGTTACGACAGAGCATTGTGGGCTTTAATTACCTAATTTGATTTATAATTAGACATGTTGAAAATTATTTAACTTTTGGTTTATGCAATAGGGGTTGTTTCCTCTAGTTTATTCTTATCTGAGTGCTTGTATTCTTAATTTTTTCTAAAATGGTGGTTGGGCTTATTGGCTTGATTGGATTGAGATAGTGATCTCTTCAGGTCATCCAATGACCTACATCGGGTGACATGCTACAAAACTGTTACTTCGGAGTAATCATCCTACAGCTCTCCTAACCCTCCCCCGCCATCTAGTAGACCTAGATCAATATCATTTGGTATAAGAACACAATCTTAACCTAAAATACAAATAACATAGCCTACCCAATATCCTTCATCCTAAACCCCTCATTTTGTTAGCCAAAAGCCTAGATGGGAGAAAATGAACATCATGATGTTGAGAAGAAGCATGCCAAGTTGCGTCAATAAGCTAACAATGGAAGACATAAAGGGAGATCATCCAACTGCAACAAAGGCCGATCGCTTTTGAGAGAAACAATTCAGAGATGTCATCTACAGTGCTAATAGTTGCTCACCGGATCGAGAGGAGGATCCACCAGCAAGTTTCTAGCACTGAAGAATCAACAACTCGATAATTCGGCATTGCATACTAGAGGAGAGGCAATGGATTTGAAGTAAAGAACAACTGTCTGATTTTGATAAAAGTCTGGATCTGGATGAATCATTGAGTGGTTACCAACAGTAAAATAATTTTTTTAGTATAAAAATATTTCCATAATAAGAGAGTCAAATTGATAGCAAATAAACTCAGGACAAAGTCCTAAAACTTTACAACTTATATCAGAGAGATTCTTTTGTGGAACACACGACCAAATTTGACCAAATCATGTTGACATGTGAGTTAATAGAGCTAGACAGTGGCGATGTATCTTGAAGGGTTGAAATCATCTATCAACAATGTGATGTAGTTGGAAGATTATTGATCCCTACTTGATGTACAAATCCTAAATTCAAAGGTGGAGAAATGACATCATCATCAAGGGACTATCACACCTTACAGACAGGGCTTGAACTCAAAATGAGACCACAAAAAACACACCCATTAGAACACATAAGCCAGCCCCTCATGAGGCAAAATTAGCACAAAACAAAGAAAAGCAGGGGGACACCAACACTCCCAAATCTTTCCTAGTCATGAAGTGTTTCAAGTATCATGGCTTTGGAAACAAGCACCTGATCGAGAGGGTGATTTCTTTTATTGATCAGAAAGCAATAAAAGAAATGGACAATGACATGGAAGACATAAGAAAATGCTAGGAAGTAAAAGACAAGTACCAACTTTCAAAAGATGAGAGAGAGGTGCTAGATTGAACTCACGAGAGAATAATAGTGGCTCTGCCACAACATCTTTCATACTCATTACATCATGAAAGAATAATATGCGGACTTTTTATAGACAGACACAATTGTGAGAATGTTATATATACATAAATGGTAGACAAATTGAGTCAGACTACTTAGAAGCATACCCAATCATATTTATCGAATTGATTGAAGAATGAAAATGAGATCAATGTTAACAAAAGGTATCTAATAGAATTTAGAATGAAAAGAAGCTATAAGATCATGTGCGGTGGGAAGTCATGTTGGATGCATATAATATTTTATTGGGCATACAACGACATTATAATGGTATACTTCATGAATGTCACAAAAAACCCCTAAATATTTCTTAAAAATGGGAAGCATGATATACTTTTGCGCTTAAAAGAGTCAACAATGATGAGTAATCAAATAGAGATGAAGTTATAGCACCTCATAATATATATCTACAGGTTATTAGAGATGAGTAATCAAATCTCTTGCATGGACTCAATCACGAGCAGTTGAGATAAGGTGTGTGTGTGTGTGTGAGAGAGAGAGAGAGAAATAAATTCAGAATCGAGATGAGAGATTAGGTAATGGGTACTATATGAATCTAGGATGAGAGGCGATGAGATGTTCAGTGTGCTAGAAGGTTGGGTTTACGAGTGCTTTGTAAGGAGGAGAGGAGTGGACGGTTTTGCATGAGTTTTAGAGAAGCGATGCGGACAAAAATCATTCGGACTCAATCTCGAGCAGTTGAGATAAGGTGAGACAAAGAGAGTCAAAATCGAGAGAATAGAGAGCAGACGATGGGGACTATGTGAATCTAGGATGAGAAGCGAGGAGCTGTGCGATGTGCGAGAAGGCTAGGGTCACGAGAAGAGGAGTCGGCAATTTTGCATGAGAAGTAGAAAAGCGGAGCAAATTTGAGAAAATACGTATAAAAAAATTACGCGAGAGAGAGAGAGAGAGAGAAGCACTGTAATAAAAGTTGAATGTTTTTTATTCATTTTGACCAGTTTTTTCTTTTTTCTCTAAAAATAGACAATGGGATGGGCTTAAAATGCTCCTAACAGAATGGGATAGAGAATTGTGCAACATTTTGGAATCAATAATGGTGGCAAAAGAGGAAAACATAGTAGAAAATTTTAGTTGATATTTTTATAATATTCATAATAATATTGTTAAATTTACAATAATCTTACACATAAAAAAAGTTTATTTGTGTATGTATATCTTTTCTGGTGAATCATCGTTTCTCATATTTCTTAATTTGTGTCTTATCACAAGTTTTGCTTCCATGAAACGGATAATTCGGTTTAGATGTCTTTCCTGGGCCTTTTTTACTTTCTAGGTATGTAGGCACAATCAGTTTTGTGATTCAGCAATGTCTGAATAGTTTTGACGATGATAATTATATTTCAACTATGACTTGAACAACATTGCATCCATAATCCATCGTATTCATTGTACTCATTTGAATCAATAGTGAAAGTCCCTTTATAGAAAATTGGATGCTTTGAACGCCTTGACATAGTATTTTTATGAGACAAGTGACAGGATTTCAATTTATGTATTTTTTGCAAGCATGTTCAAAATTGTAGACTTTCTCCATATTAAAAGGCAGGTCGTTATACCATGCTTTGTCAAGCAAAATAGCTAGGAAATTTGACTTGGGTGTATGGAACCATGCATCAAGCATTTAGGAAAGATGCAATCTAAAGTGCTCTATTCTAATAGTGCGGCAAAGTGTAAAAAGTGAAGCACCTTTACTGCCAAACTGAAGGAATCCTAAGCGATGCATGGGATTCATTAAGCATATTATGTTTTCTTTGTGAAGATTGTTGCCTTATGTATACTGTGTGCTACTTTACTTGTGAAAGTGTTCAGGGATATATATTCAGCAGGGTCCAATGATATATAAGTTGAAATAAAATGCACACACTGGACCAAAAGAACAAAGATGTAAAACTTTTGCTATAATTTAGACATGTAAAACATGTTTAAGCAAACAAATATAGATAATCATGAAAATCACATAGAGAAAACTTTTGCAATTTCAACAAACCTCGTATAGAATGAGACCAAAAGAAAATGCATCAACCTTTCTGTCAAATATTTCGTTCTTGTAAACCTCAGGAGCCATATATACACCTAGCAGAAATAAATCCCTGTTAGTGTTAAACCATAAGAATGACATTCTATTGTGAAACTCATCAAAATGCACAGAAAATATAGTGTGATGGGCAATATATTTTACAATCAACTAAATGCATCAACACAGATACTGTGATATCCGTAATGACGTAAAAAACAATGCCATGATATCTGTTTTAAGGTAACCAACTAGTAACAGAAAATTAACTCAAATAATATGATTCAGGAAATAGAATGTTTTAGATGTGTTTTACAAGCATAACCAGCTAATTTATTTAGGCTAGAATTAGCATTTAGAGTTTAATTTAATTGAGTAGCTAAATAGAATAATGAGATTGCCCTAATCTAGATCCGATGATTCTATTACCCATGAGTACTAGTGGATTCAGCCTGCCAACATCGAAGAGTGTTGAATCATAAGTCTAGTGAATCTACTAACCATAGGCTATATATATATATATATATATATATAGAGAGAGAGAGAGAGAGAGAGAGAGAGAGAGGAAGTGTTGACCTCATTTTTAGTGAGGTCTAGTCTTCCTCTTAAGGTTTAGGATCTAGCCTTAGGGATCTCCCTTCGACTATCTTAGAACATTAGAAATGGGACCCGCCTCATTTTAGAAATTGAACCTACTTCTGTCTCCTTTTGGAGTTTCGTGTATGTGGTATCGACTTCTAGCACTTAGAAGGGCGAAACCGACCTGAGGAAACCCAAAAGGAATTCTTATAGGACCTTTCGAGCCACCGCCTTCTGCACAATTCACACTCCCGCGCGCACAAACTTCGCAATTAGGAGAGTTGACACATCCGATCGCCACAATTCACATCGCTTGCACTGTTACCTGTCGAAGACTCGAATAAACCTTTTGAAACGATCTATCGCGGGTCGAAATTTTGTGAAATTTGCGAAATTTTGTGAAATTTGCGAAATTTTGTGAAATTTGAATTTTGACGCGTTTTTGACCCGAGTGTCGACTATGTCGTCCGAGCGACCCCGGATGACAAAACGGACTGCACCAGCGCGTCCGGAACGTCGATTTTGCCTAGGGAAGACACCCGCGCGTGAATATTTTGCATATGATTTAATATATATATATATATATATATATATTAAATTTATATAAACCAAAATATTTCTTTTCCTCTTTAAGCCCCAAATCCCTAAACTCACGCACCCGAGCCCTGCCTCCCTTCCTTCTCCTGTTCGCGTGCCTAGCCTTTCCCTTTCTCGGTCTCGAGCCAACCAAGCTCCTCCTCCTCCACGCGAGAGAAAGTTGACTTCTCATTCGTCTTTGCCCGACACTTTTTGCACACGGCCTTCCTTCCCGAAGCCGTGCCAGTCTCCCCGCGCTGTGGTTTTCCCTTTCTTGGTAGTTTGACTCCTGGTAGCTTGCCCCATGGCAAATGGCAAATTTTCTCTTTCCCCCGTCTCTCCCTTTGCTGCCACTAGGCTGGCCGCTCGGTCCTAGATGTTTCGGTTGCTTCGCCTTATGTGAGTTTTGTGGGTTCATGGGGTGATCTTTTTTTCTCTTCTCCTTTCTTCTCTGCCTATAAAAATAATTTCTTTTGGAATTTTGGTGGTTGTTGAAAGTTTTCTAAGAGGAAAGGAGTAGAGATTTTGGTTGTGGGAGGAGTTTAGGAGGAGATTTCTGCGAGAGCATCTCCTTGAGGTGGTTTCTTGTGTTGCAGTGCTCTACATTTGCATTAAGGAGGTACCTCTTCTCCCCCTTTTTCGGTGCCTTGCTTCTTTTCGGTTTTCTCTCTGTCAAGCCTCCTCTTGCTCGGTTAAGTCGATAGTACAGCATGCTAGTTTAATCTACTTTCATATATTTTGAGATGTTTACCTTAAAAGCATGTTTCAGGGGTTCAATTTGATTACTTGCTTAGAATGGTGGAAATATAGCATGACATAAGTGTTCTTATTTTCTCTACCTGCTTGAGACGAAGCAGTGGCATAGTTCTATTATTGTGAACAGGAAGCTTGAGAAATGGTCTTGAAATAATTTTATCTTCTCTTGCAAGCATGTTAGGATATGTATTACGAAGCTTTTCATCTATTTTCATTTAGTACGGGATATTAGAAAGGTTATTTGGCCTTTCATGCACGTTAGGAGGAAATGTATTTAATTTGGAAAGCTTTGTATCTTGTTTTGAGAGATTGGCTTAGCTCCTCATGAGGCATCTACCCTGCTCAAAAATCTGTTGGAATCGTTGTATGCTGGGAATATTTAGACATGCAGGTTGTTCCTTGGCTTTGGATGGCTCGGTTTTACCTAGAGGTGGCTGGAACTTTAATTTCTATTAAAGCCTGAATTTATATCAATGTTTGGGCCCTGTTTTAATCTTGCTGAGCTCTGTTTTGGCTTTTGGTTCTTTTTGGGCTCGGTTTTGGCTAGATTTGGAGTCTCGGTTTTTTTTTTGGAATTGAAATGAATAGAGCTCTATCCTTTATGGAGGCCTGGATTTTAATACTATTGGGTTTGGTTTTGGCCCCTGTTGGGCTCGGTTTTGGCCCCTGCTGGGCTCGATTTTGGCATTCCACCGGTGTCTTGGCTCAAATATACGTGTGGTGGATGAATGTATGTTGATTCGGAATAACTCTGTAGTTATTCTTGTGTAAGACATGCGTTGGTTCTATATTTTGATGTCTCAGGGGTATGGAAATGTTTTTTTTCTACTATTTTGTTGTAACCCGAATTCGAACCTTAGCTGTGGCTCGGTTTTGGCTTGGTTTGGAGTCTCGGCCTTGGCTTGAAATGGCTAGAACTCTTTTTTTTTATGGAAGCCTGAATTTTAATATTGTTGGGCTCGGTTTAAGGCCGATTTGGGGTGTGGCTTTGTTGGTTTTGGCCCTTGCTGGGCTCGGTTTTGGATTGTGGTGGTTTTGTTTTGGCCATTTGATGGTTGCGGTTTTAGACCTTGTTGGGCTTGATCTTATCTTTGGGAAGCCCTGTCAGAGCTTGCGGTGTGGTTCAGCTTTGATTTTGGCCAAGATTTTGTTTTGAGGTGATGTGTGCCTTGGTTTGGGAATTCGGTTGACCTTCTTTGCTTCCCCGTTCCTTTTGGCAGCCTTGCCCTTGAGCCTTACTTGTTGTGCCTTGGATTGGCTGTGGGGGGGGGGGTGCGGGGGGTGGTGGGCCTATTCTTGTTGGGCTTGAAAAACTTGAACGATTATGGGGGCATCAAGTGTGTCATCCAAAAATATATGTAAGTGCATTATCTATAAAATGAGTTGATTCAAAATGAGTTAGGCATATGTTTTGAGTCTTACTTGGGGAAATTGGAGCTGGTTTAAGATGGATTTATGAAAACCTGTGCATTCACTCTCCTATGTATATCGAAACTTTTAGGGAATTGATTCGGGTTTGCCATAGCCGTGAGCCTCACTTGGCGTTTCTCACTTGCTGTTTCTTGGGTTTGCCTCAATTGTGAGCCTCCCCTTTTGGTCCTTACCCGTGAGGCCTATTGGAGGTCATTGGGTGTGATTTGGTCCTCCTTGCTAGGCTTGATTGGCTTGAGTGTTGTGGATGAATCAAGTTTGCCATACCAAAAATTATAATCTCTTTAGTTATCCTCTTATGTTTGTCAGGGAAGCACAGTAGCCATTGGTGGGTCTTTTGGTCGCCTTAGCCGTGAACCTCATTTGACCCTGTTTCTTGTCTTGGCCAAGGGCCTTGATGGTTGCTTCCTCTTTTCTATTGACCCCGTCCGTGAGCATTTATTTGGTTCTGTGGGAGGATTTCATTCTTATTCGACGTATATGGCTATTTATTAATCTGAAAGTTGGGGGAATTTTGATTTCGGCATGAGTTTGAAAATATTAATGGTGGTTTCCCCGTGATCATTTTCCCGTGATCATTTTCTCGAAGTCACTTTCTTTTGAAGTTTGGGAGATTTTAAACCTCATTTTGGGAAAGCATTTGGTGGACTCGATCAATCCTATGTCTTTGGGGTTTGAGAAAATTAGCGCAAGGTGCCCCTTTATGTTTGTTAGGAAAGACCTTGGGCCCTATTTCACCAGGTTTTTTCGATACGAGTTTTGAGAACTGATTCATTCTCCTTTTTTGGTGTTTTAGATGGATCAATACCTCCTCTCTCTCACCACATTTTTGTTCTTTTCTTTCCTTGCTTCTTGGCTCGTTCTTTTTGATGCTTATGTGCGATGCATAAGTGTCCACGTATAGCCTTTTGCTATACGTGAAACCATCAAGCAAGGTCGCAAGTAGTCGTTTCGGGGCGTACGGAAGGCACACCGAAGATAGAGCATAAAGATGGCCTATCCTATACATCAAGATCCAGACATTTGATGAACAATAGGATATGGTATCCTTCGACGACATAAGTCTAGCGGGAGTTGGCTCGAACCTTCTCAGATGATTGGCAGTCCCGCGCCCGACAGTGTAATCGATTCGTGGACAACGAAAATTTCTAAAAAAAAAATAAATATAAATTTTGATAACCCTTTTCAAGCAAAAACATACTTTTCTACGAAACAAAATTGATAACTCTTCTTTGCATGTTTAAAATTTATATGCATGTTAAAAAAAACATAAAACAGACTTTAAAGTTGGTTGTCCACCTGACGAATACTCGTTTAGGCTGGGAAATAGCCCTCTAAGTGAGGTTTAAGACACAATTCTAGACGAGTGGCGGGTTCTATATATTCGGGTGACCAAGTAGCCTTCGTAGACCCTCGAGAATAAATATACAGCTGAGCCTAGTCTCATACGAGTGCTTGCGGTCCCCCTCGTCTTAATCTTTTTTTGTTTTATCGAAGCTTTAGGACAGAGCACTCATGTTACCTTTCCTTTCTTTCGGGATTTCTCCAGGATTTTTGAGGATTTTCTTTTACTTGAGTCTCTTCTCGTTGATTTTCTCGAGTTTTCTGCTCTTCCTCAGATTTTCTGGATGACGTTTTCTTCCGGACTTTGCTTTTGAGATGCATTTAGGCTTGCTATACTTAAGGAACATCGGATCTCACGGGCGTACATGTTTGC